CTTCTCTGCCTGTCGTTTGAAGCTGCAGTTGGCTCCATGTCCTCCTGGTCGTGGACAGCCTTCACATGTGGTTTCTGCTGTTCCTTTGCATGTGGCACTTCAGATTTGGGAAGTCCATTTTTAAGTCATACCATAAGAGTGTTTTGGGCTTTTCTTTAAGCAAGTGGGCAGGGGAAGGGGAGGTACTTGGGTAGGTCTTGGGAAGAATTTACCGGGGTTCTCCAGAAGGGTTCGATGATGGGCTTGGAAAGTTACTTAATTCTTTAGAATTGAAGTTATTCAGCTCCTGGCCATCATCCAGTATTTGGTATTTTGCTTGCTCTGCCTGGAATAATTTCTCTCGCTCTGGGGCTTGTGTAAAAATGTTTAATTGAGTTCAGAAACTAATGATCAAAAGTGACCATCTGTGACCCCTTAGCAGGCATCTGGGTGCACATTTTGCACTTCTGAGGTGTTAAGATAACACAGCACTGTTGCTGCTGGGACTAGAAGCCGTATCATCAAATATAATAATATTTTCCAGCTGCACTTGTTGTTTTTTAGTCTTTCCTAAATGAAAATGAGTTTTGCAGGTGGCTAATGCTAGAGGATAATTTGTTTCCGTGCTCGTTTGAAGCCTTGCAGCAAACCCAAAGCTGTGAATAGAAGATGGAAATAAAAGTAGAACGTGATTTCAGAAAAAAAAGCCCTCCATTTTCTGTGCTGGTGAAGTGACTAAGCCGTGGGGCTGCTGATGCAAACCTTTCATCTGCCCAAGGAAAAGGGTGATTATCTTCAGCTGAAGCCGTGGGGCATTGAGCAGCTTTTGAGCAGCACATCCAGGCAGACATTTGCATGAGAAGTGTGAAGATGAGACTCTGATGTATTTGCAACTTCTGAATTGCCATCCTGGTTCTGATTGAGCTGCCTGTTGGGAGAGCCTGGGACACCTTTCCCTGGAGCCCAGGAAGGGAGTTTCACACTCTGCTCCTCCCTGTTATCTCCCCCATTCTGAGATAACTTCTCCTCTCCTCTCCATGGCTGGAGCCTGGAGAAGTGTGTTAATGACAGCAAGTCAGAGGCCATCAGCCTTGCCTTGGGGAGGCAGGAGGTGCTGGGAAAGAGAGGGAGAGATGCTGGATGGCAGAGTCACAGCTGTGTTTGTTGGAAGGGTCCTCTGCAGGTCAGCAGCAGCACTGGGCCAGGACATCCCTGGCTGTGCCATGCTGAGAGCTCCTGGGATGCTCTCTGGGTGACCCCTCCCTGTGCTGGGCTGGCCTTGCTTCTTAAGAGGTAACACAAATAACACTGGGGGAGAATTTCCAGAAATACCTTTTTTTTCCCTGCTGGAAAACACTGATTTGCTCAAACCAAGTGTTGGGCTGGTCTGGATCAGTGTGGCTGGAGCTTCTGAGCCGGGACCTGGAGGTGACCTGGGTACCATCACCCCCCCAGGGTCTGGCTCTGGGGTGTTCACCTTGAGCCCCTGATCCTTGGGCTGTTGGACACCCTGCTGCAGCCTGTCCTCTGTCTGGCAGTGCCTGCTCCCCGCCACCAAGTGTCAAAGGTGGCTTCTTGTTTCAAGAAAGGCAGGCAGAGAGGGAAAAAATCTTCTAAAAGAAAAGCAGCAAAAAGTCAGTACAGGAAAACTGATAAAAGCCCATCCACTGGATAATCTGCAATCAGGGACAGGGCAGGGAAAGATGTGACTTCCCAGGGATCCTCATTAGCTCAGGTGTCATCAAACTGCAATTTATTGCTGGGTGGGGCTTTGGGGGGAGAAATGTCTTTGTCTCTGGAGTAGACAGAGGCACAGCCATGGCTCTGGGCAGCCTCTTCCTCTCACTAATCACGCAGTAGTAATTACTCTCTGGGCAAGTTCCCCTAATTAAGCCCACAGAGGAGATGCTCTCACAGCAGGGTCGTTGCTCTTTAAACTCCCACATGCACAGGAGGAGTGTCACACTTTGAGGTCTTTTCTTAATCTTTGAAATAGTTGGATATGAACCAGAAGGAAAACTATTTCCCTATTGCCAATATGTTTATCTGGTCAAACTATCACACTGTATTTAAATGGTGGTGGGTGGTGAGTGATAAACAGTCCTTTTTGTGGCCAAAGCAGTTCATGCCTTGGGCTCTGACCTCTCAGAAGGGTTGAAATCTGAGCTCTTGTTTTTGCCTGGTACCTCTGTTGGAGCAAATAGGTCTCAAATGGCAGATGGAGGATCTTCAGAGTGTATCTTTGCCTTGGAAAATAACCTCAAAGGGTGCACATCCCTGGTAAGACTGGGAGTGCCAGGTTGTGCTGCTCCAGCCTCAGTGGCTGGAAAACAGAGAAAAGACCTGAAACCAAAACAACTTCAATTTTCTTGGGTTTTTTTCTCATTTGAAAGAAAGACTTTTGTTTTAGAAAGAGGTCAGATAGATGCAGAAAAAAATACTATGCAGAAAAAAATATATAGCACAGAAATCTTTAATGATTTCTTCATTTAAACTTGAACATTATGATATTCTACTTAGTTGGATTATGGCTTCAATAAGCTCTTGAATTAGTCACACTATCAGTGTAATTACAGTTAAAATTGAAAGCTAATTCACAGCCAAGTGTTATTCTGGCTGAAAGATTTTTTTAATTTTTTTTTTTTTCTGAGAACACGAAAACAACTTGTTGCCATTTTTCTTTTTAGCTTGTTGTGGCATACAGGAATGTTGAATATTTGGCAGCTGAAAAAAAATCGGTAACTAATTCTCATCTAAATGTTTTCATGCTGAAAAGTCCTGTGATCTGTGACTGCTCCAAAAACAGCTTCTGAAGGGCAGCTCTGGGATGAAAGGCTGGGGATGACAAAGGTGCCACCTCCCATTTCACGGGGCTTGAAACCCAGATTCTGAATATTTACATGATAAAATCCTCCTGGCATAGCCCATGGGGGGGGTTAGTTACTGAAGCATTAAACCACTAGATCAGCTGGTAACTGGTGTTGTAGCTGGGCACTGCCCATGCCCTGCATTGCCTGGTCAGAGGTGCAGCTCCCACAGTGGGCAGGAAAAGCCCCAGAAACACAAAGGGGGCTGTGGCTGTGCCAGCAATGTTCCCAGCAGGCACACTCCTTGGGGTGGAAACATCCTGCTCAAGTACCCACTGATTTCTCCTGACAAATTGTCATCTGAACATTATCATATTTTTTTATTAAGTCAGCTTGTGACTTCAGTAATTTCTTTCATCTTATTCTTAATGAAAGATGGCTTAAAATTAAAAACAACTTCTCAGACAAGCTAATATTCAAGCACAATTCAGTTAAATAGGATGACAAGATGTGAGGAAATAAAAGACCATTCTTGGCAGCAGCAGATCAATTATTACAGTGCAAAACCATGTGGAATACAATAATAGATTTTTTTCCTCAGGAATGTGCCCTAGCTGCAAACCCATAACCACTTCAGCAGGTGTTTATAAACACTGTCTTCTGAAAAATATTACTGAAGCACTTTATGGACAGTGCTGCTGTGCAAATGACTCCCATGGCTGTGCCTGAGAGCTGCAGGTGAACTCCCAGGGCCTGCCCTGGAGAGAACTTTGATGGCCCAGCAGCCGTGGGGCTCAGGCTGGCAGGGGGCTGTGCCAGCTGGGAAAGGGTTCCCTGGGTTTGCTGGGCACTGCTGAGGCTCTGTGCTGGCAATCCCACACTGCCAGGGCACTGGGGCTGCCAGAGCTCCTGGGTCAGGGCTGGGCTCTGCTGGTGGGCTTGTGTCTGCATGTTCAGTGGGTTTGGCCATGAGAATACCAAGCCAGGGAAACAGAGCTCACAGCACCCCCAGGGGGTTCTGTAGGATTCACTGAAGTATTGGCAGGCTTTGAGAAAGATGATGAATCTTGAAGAGGAGGAAGATAAAGTCGTGCAAAAGCTGCCTTTGCAGAGAGAGGCACGTGCTGCCCACCCAGCTCTGTTGTCTGCCAGTAGACATGTCCTGCACCTCTCTGAGGCAAGAGGTGACTTCTTTACACATGAAAACACCACTCACCAAAAGGGGGTGTGTTCCAGGAATGTGCTTTTGCAGCAGCAGGCAGGTCAGGTGGCACCTTTCTGGCAGGCAGCATCTCCCAGGGCCTGATGTTGGTGTTTGCCTTGATTTGGGGATCAAGGCAGGGCTGCAGGAGATGCTGTCAATGAAAGTGCTATTGAAAATTTCTCTTTCCCTAATCCACTTATGTTGACAGGTTAGACAGAGCAGGGATGAGTTTAGTTAAAGAAATAACTTTTCCAGGACATAAATGGATTGATAAAATATAATTCTGTTAAGAGATCATTCTGGTGCTTGAATGGCACTAACAATTGTGTGGGAATCAGAGGCACAAAGAGATTAGCAGCAATCTTTATTTCCCAAGCAGGTCGTCTGTTGAGATGTTGTTATGTAAACTAAATGTTCATGTGTCAGGAAGTAATGGTGCAGTTTTGTCTGCAGGGAGTCCTGGGCAGGAGCTTCTTTGCAGGGGAAGAAACAGGAGAATTGATCCATCTAGAAAAGTAAATTTTGCAGATTTTTTTACTGACTGAATGGCACATTTGGCACATTCCTGTGCCAAATGCCAGCACATCAAGTGCCTCACCGGGGTGTTGCCAGGGTGGATGTTTGGGAGGAGGTCAGAGCAGTTCATGTCAGGTGTGCTGGGTCCCCCTCAGGCACAGGTTCCCTCTGGGCAGGGGGAGGATGCACAAGGACCCATCTGCCCCTCAGGGAATATCCAAAATAACGTGTGAACCAGTTCCAGCTGCACAGATGCTGAAGGTGCAGTGGGGGGTGGATGCCCTGAGTGGCACCAGCCCTTCCTTCTGCCCAGTTTGTCCACACTGGTGGCTGGGCAATGCCCAGAGGGTGGGTGACATTACAGATGGGTATCTGGGGTTAAGCCTGCAGGAATCCTAAATGTAGCCATCATCTGTCCTTTACATTAAAATTCTCTTTCTTTCTCTCTCTTTTTTTCCTGCTTCCTCCCCTGCCTTGTTCTCCCCCTCTGCCAGCAATGTGGACACCAAGGAGCTGTGTGGTGAGTGTGGCCCTTTTTTTGGGGTGAAAGCAATCCTTGCTGCATGAGGGGCTCTGAAGGATGCATGAAACCCAGCACAAAGTGCTGTGGCAGCTGAGGACAGGGGGGATCTCAGCCCTCCTGCTGCTTTGCCCCTTATTCCACAGGAAAATTGGGAAAACTTTTCTTCATCTTCTTGCAGCAGAAATGGGGTCAGAGCTGATCAAAGTGCTTGGCTCCCATTCAGGAACAAGCTGGAGTTTAATTTCTGGAGATGTCATGGCTCCCAGCTCTGCTCTGCAGCTCAATAAACCCTCATCCCTCTGCAGTACCCATAACATGTTTGTCCCTAGGCCAACCTCCCTGTTTCCAGCAGGTTGCCTGAGGTGTACACCTCTCCTACTGCACCTCCCACTGCTCACCAGAATTAAAGGCTGAAAAGAAAATCTCTGATAATGTTTTGTCCCACACCTTGACCAGAAAGGGAGAATTTCCTGCCAGGATTCCTGAAGGGCTTTGCCTCACTGGGAGATGTCTCATGCTGCTCACTCGGGTGTGGTTTTCGTGGATGCTTGATATTGGAAATGTTTCCTGCACCCCAGCTTTGGGGAAGAGATGAGGAGGCAGAGCTGTATGGCCTTGCAGAGGGCTCATCCATCTCTGCTGCTCCTCTCCTGTGCCAGGATCAGAAGAACACATAAAGCCACTCAGCAGGTGTTCACCACTGACCTTCACTGCTTTGCCACCAGTTAAAGCCTCCAGAGGTAGCTGGGAGTGGGTTGTGCAGCCAGAGAGGTGGTTGCTGTGTGCCTGTGCACCTGTCCTGACACTTGAAAGACCTGTGCATTGATGGTGGTCTGTGGGTCTGCCTGCAACAGGACACTGCCCAGGGTTCTCTCCTCCTGGAGTGCTTAACTCCTGCCCACACCTTTCTGAGCATCCAGGCCTGCAGCAAAAGCAGCAACATTTCCCCTTTCTGCTGGTCATCCCTGCTTTGATATGCAAGAAACGAAGACTTCCATAAACTCCTTTTGGTTTGCTGATGATATGATGGGCTTGTTCCCATCACTCCATTGTTATTGTGTTGGGGCTCCTTGCCAGCTGACCAAGAAATCAAAACCCCACAGCTTGTACCATCAACTTTGCCAGGAAATCCAGGGGTAATAAGGGCATAGCTTGACCCCACACTGCTTTCTCCATCACTCTGATAAAATCAGAAAATTACATGGCTGTCACCCAGCCTGATCCCATCTGCTGCCTCTCCCAGGGGTGGAGCTGCTGGGAGAGGAGGGAGATAAACCCATCACCTCCTGTGGGAAGCTGGAGGAAGGGTTGATCAGCACAAGCTCCTGCCTGCATCTGTTATCTGCTGAGTTCCTGCCCTTGCCTGCAAATTCTTATTTGCTTGTTCTCTTCTAAGTATTAATTTAAACATAAAACCTCATTTTGGCTAAATGGGAACTGTGGTGTCTCTCTGGAAATGGGTTGTGTATTATAAGATGTTGGGAGCATCTTAAAAGGGATTTCTTGAACCCTGCAGTTTATGTGATAACTTTGATATGGCTGTTAATCCATATCAGGCAGCATCTTAAAAAGTTCTGGGTTTTTTTCCTGCCAAGGAATGCAACAATCACCAGCACCTTGACTGACTTAAAGGTGGTTGTATAGCTTTTCACTGGCAGAGGAGCTCCCAGCCATAGCTAGGAGCTCTTAATAAGCCAGAAAATGTGAGTACAGGAGCCAAATTGTACCTGCCACTTCTAATTCCATCAATGCACAGTCATGCAATGGTGCAAACTGTCCTGAGAACTGAGTGTGCTCCACGAGCAGGGGGTGCACATCAACCTCTTACAGACCATCAGGGTGATGGCATCTCCTGGGGACAGCTGTGGGGCACCATCCCCTCCCACACCAGTCTGGGGTTGCAGTGATGCTCTTCCTTCCTCTGAACATTGACTTTTGCCTCTGCAGCCAAGAGCAAGGACCTTGTAGGACTGGAAGAGCTGATCTCAGGTGTTCAGATGAATTAATGAGGCTAAAGCAGCTTTAACTTTGTTAAAACCAACACTGTTCTGCTCCCAGGTGCTCCTTGCTCAGGCTCAAGGGCTGTGCTCTGCCCACAGCAGCTCATTTCTCCTGAAATGTGGGAGTCCAGCTTTTTATTTCAGGACTTACAAAAAGTCTTCACCTTTCAGATCTGCTCAGGTTTTCTTTCCCAAATGAAGTCAGAGGAACAACACAAATAAACACCCTGCAATGAGAATAAGCTGTTTGGCTAATCAGGGAACAGCAAACAGCTGCTGTCAGTCATGCTGTGACATTCCTGTTTCTGCCAAAATCCTCTTCCCTTTGAATATGTTCTCAGACTGTAAATAGCTATAGGCACTTCTAATTAAGCCAAGAGAACCTAATTAGTGGAGTTGTTTCCTGAAGTTTCTGTCTTGCTGCACTCCACAGAGATGTCACCTCAGTGTGACGCTTCGTGTCTCAGTGCTGAGGAGCAGCACTGCTGGCTTTTAAGGAACAGCTTTCAGCTCTACTCTGTGTCAGTCACCCAGAAACAGGGAAACTTTGGGTCTGTGCTGCAAGCTCCCTGCACATCTGGCTGTCCTGCTCCTCTGCTGCTGTTCCCATCACGAACAGGAATTCCAGAATGTGGGAACTCCGGCACAGAACTGTGTTCCCGTGTGTCAGGGAGCCATCAGCCCCGGGACACACCAGTGGTGGCTGTGTTTTGTGTCAGTGAGGGGCAGCTGGGACTGTGCCAGGCCCCTGCTGGGGTGGGGGTGCAGCCTGGGGTGATCTCCTGCAGAGGAACGAGGGTGGCACAGAGGGAGGGTGGGCTCCCTCTCCATGGAGAACGTGGGCTTTGGGGCCAGCCTGCAGCTTTTCTCTTTTCTCTTTTCTCTCTTCTCTCTTCCTCTGGAGGCACATTTTACTCTCAGAAGCTTGTTCAGCCTCTGATTGTTGGCTGAGGTGCAAATGTGACAGGAATGTAGGGAAAGATGTGAGACCAGACTCAGCTCATGTAAATTGTGTTTAACTTGAGAGGAATTTGGATGCTTTGGGTGGTAAAGAATGTCAAGGGAGTGGAAAGAGGATTTCTTTTGAGACTTCTCCCTCCATGCCTGCAACAGGAGGGGAGAGACCAGATACAATCAAATGCAGAAGTGGGCATGAGTTATTTTCAGTGGGGGCTACTGGGCCTTGCACCTCCTTTGTGCAATGGTCCAAACTTCATGGGAATCACACCACTTCCCATCCCTGCAGGACAAGTTGTGACTTTGACTCGGTGTTTAGAGTATAAAAATGTACATGAAACCATCCTCTCACATTTACCTTACCACCAAAAAATTGACATTGCTGTCATGCAGCCCTGAAGGATTAAATTTCCTCAGCATGTTCCCCTCATGTCCCTCTTGGTTTTCCCAGACTATTTTGCTGACCACATGGGAGACTACGAAGATGTTTTGGCCTCTCTGGAGATGCTGAACCTCTCCATCCTGAAGGCAATGGACTACACCAAGAGGGTGAGTGCCCTTTGCTGCACCTCATGTTCCACAGGCCTGGAGAGAATGGTGTCAGAGCTGTGTGATCAGAGCACAGAAATCTCCAGGTCCTCATCCTCCTCAGCAGTGCTGCCTCCTCATCCTCCTCAGCAGTGCTGCCTCCTCATCCTCCTCAGCAGTGCTGCCTCCTCCTGCTCCACAGGCAACATGGCCCAAGGGTCTCTTGGGTGGGATTTTGGATGCACAGGGTCTTGTTAGTGCCACTGGGAGGGCTTTTGGAAACTTCATTTTGTAGAGCTGCCATTAAATCCCATTTCCATGCTAGAAGGCATCCTGCATTCCAGAAATCCTGTTTCCATGCTGGAAGGCATCCTGCATTCCAGAAATCCTGTTTCCATGCTGGAAGGCATCCTGCATTCCAGAAATCCTGTTTCCATGCTGGAAGGCATCCTGCATTCCAGAAATCCAGTCCCTCATGTGCAGCTGCTGTGCTGGAAACAAGGGGCCTGTGTGTTTGACAGACCACAGGGGAATCATGCAAGCACCAAACCTAAGACATAGTGTCCTGTTTTATATATGCAAAATAGCCCCAAGTTCTTAAAAAATCCACCACATACCTTAATGATAGTGTTAATAATGGACTAATAGAGACAATGACACTGGTCAAGAAGCATATTGAAGTTTATTTATGAATACCTAGAAAATCTGAGCTGAGGTACCATATGAATATCCCTGCTGAGAGTTGCACCACCCATTTGTTGTCTTATCAGGATGAGAGAAGTGTTTATAGACTTTTAATTTCTTGGAAATAATTTTCCTGTCCTTCCATACCACTGAATAATGTAACTGGGCTGTGCTGGTGATATTTATTACCTCACAGTAATCAATCCCTTCTCCCACTTCTACCTTCAACCATATTTGCCTTGTTGTTTTGTGCCACAGTGAGTGAAAAGTCGTGTCCCTCTTTGCTCATGAGTAATGGGGTACACTGAGGACCAAGCCAAGGAGGGAGGTTTTGCTTTCTCCAAGCAGCCACAAGGACTTCCCAATCCAACCACAACACTCCTGCAAGTAATCCAAATTGAAATCTCCCTTGCATTTATCTTTGAAGCTAAAGGAGAAACTCAAATTACTCCACATTAAAGATGTGGTAATGATAAGAAGTTTTAGGAGTTAGAGTGGGAAACAGCAAATTTCTCTCCCATCTTGCTGCTGAGTAAAGAGCCTGATTTTCCTGCTTGATCGAATTCCATCCCTTCTGATGTTTGTGAAGTGGAAAGTGAAGGCACGTATTTCACATGTTGATGTCTTGCCATAATAAATTAAAGGCAAAAGCCTTTGGCCCATCACTGATCTGCCTGAAGTGTTCGTGAATTTTTTATCAACATTATGAAAGGATGAAAAAATTCAGGACAACAGTAATAGTTCATTTTTTCTAATTAAGTTGCTGTGTCTGCTCGTGCCTCATTTATATTCATTATTAGCAAATTTTCTGACAGTCAGGTTTGCCAACCCTGTATTTTAAATAAATATTAACATGCTAATAGAGATCTCAGTAATTCACTCCACCTTGCTGTCTGTGATGCCTTCCACCATTGCTTTTCCAATGTGAGGTTAATATATATGACTAATTCTTCCCAATATTTTGCAAGAGGAAGATGGCTTATTCCCTGTTCATAAATTAGGCATCTGAGCATGTGGGTATTACCTTGCATAAGACATCTGCAGTGGAAGCAGGATGGTTATTCATAATCTCAGTCCACTCATAAGAAGAGCATCTTTGTCCCTCCTTGGTTCAGCAGGTTGTGGCAGGATTCTCCTGCCTTAATTGCAGCAGGTCGGGGGATTTACCCAAACCTGAGCTGCTCACCTCCATCAGGAGCTGGTGGAGAGGACCAGGGAGAGCTGGAGTTCTGGAGGCATCTTCCTCCTGCCCCACTGAAGGATCACAGCACCCTAAATCTCAAATGCAGACGTTTCCCAAACCAGGGGAGGGAGTGCCAGCCCAGCATCCCCTCAGCACCCACATTCTATCAGCCCTTGGGGCTGTTGCTCTTCACTGCCTGGCAGACTCTTGGCAAGAGAACAAGCAGAGCAAGACTCCATCACAGAGAGGAGCTGGCAAAGAGGGATTTAATCAAAAACACTGCTCCTGCTGTGATTTTGTGAACAAAGTGGTACAAACCTCATCAATGAATTATTCAAACACAGGCACTTTATTCAGGTAAAGAAGGGGGGAAGAGAAAATCCAGCAGAAAACAAGCTGTTGTGGGTGGCAGAGAAACTCATCTCCAGTGTTCTAATAGGATAAACATCCAGGCAGCAGCATCCAAAGACTCTCCAAGTGCAAACCATAGTGCTTTTCACACCCCTGGATTACAAAAGCTGGTGTCAGCTGCCACTTGCCCAATGGGTGCCCCCAGAAAGGTCTTGTAGAATCACAGAACCATGGATTGGTTTGGAAGGGATCTTAAAACTCATCTGGTTTTACCCCTCTGCCGTGAGCAGGGACACATTCCACTGGGTCAGGTTGCTGTCTCTGCATCTTTTTCTGTGGCCAGATCCTGCAAAGGGCTTGGTGATGATGCTGAGCATTGTGACTTGTGAGCAGACTGCTTTGCTGGGGAGCTGCTCCTGATTCTCCATAACAAATACACATTTCAGAAGCTGGAGATCACTCCTGATCATTTAGAAGTGTTCCTATTCCCTCCCTTTCAAACAGTGTATTCAGTGCAAATGATGAATGAAGCTCAACCTTCTTCTGTGCTGCCTTTCTGAGGAGAGGTGCCAACTGACAGGAGGGCACAGAGAACCACAGCATTTAATTGCTGTTTATATTTCTCACCTTCAAAGACAATTATTTCTTGCCCGTAAAAAGAGAAAGCAGCAATTATCTCGTGCTGGAGGACCTCATAAAGCATCAGCAGCAATTAGATTTGGTGGTGGAAGGTCTCATGCAGCCAAACAAGATCTGTCAGTGTGATTATTTTCCGATACAGTGATGTCTGTGCTGCGTTCAGATGACTGTCAGTGACGGTGGGGAATGCAAAGGGAAATTGGAGAGAGAGGAAATGAACTTTCGGGATCTAAAAAAGGCTGACAGCAGGAGATGTTCTTTTATAATTCTCTTTTACTGTTGAGTAGTGCTGCTGGCAAATACCAACCCCAACGTGACTGGGGAGGGTGGTTTGTGTGACTGGGGAGGGTGGTTTGTGTGACTGGGGAGTGTTGAAGGGTGTGTGGGTATGGGGGGGCTGGGGGAGCAGGTTAATTCTGCTCCTCTGCCACAGTCCCTGACCCCCAGCCTTGGGGGACAGTGTGGGGCAGTGCCCACCCAGTGCCTGCACCCTCCCTGCCAGCTCTGAGGGTGCCAGGGGACAGTGCCCAGGGAGCCAGAGGGATGGCATGAGCTGGTGGTTACCAAGGATCAAACCCTCACCCAGGCACCCCAGGGAGTGTGCCTCAGCTGGGTTAACAAAAGCTGTGGGTTTGGAACTGAGAGGCTCCATCAGCCCCGTTCCTGCCGGCACAGCTCGGCTGCACTGGGGCTGTCCTGCCTCCAGCTCCTGCCAGGGAAGCATTTCCAGGACTGACCGTGGGAACATCAGCAAGGCTGACCTTTGGTGGGGAGTCAAACTTATTAAAAGCAAGATGCAAAGAAGCTCCAGAAAAATGCTGAGTGATGAATGCCCTCAAGGACAAAGCAGCTGAGATTTAAAGTCAAATCATTCCTTCCTGGAGATGCTCCTGTTGGGCACCAGAAGAACTGGTGACTGACCTTGGTGCCTGCCCTGTCCCAGATGGCAGGAGAGTGCTTGGAAAGCAAAACTGCCCAAAATTGCAGCTGAAGTTGCAGCAAGCCCTCGTGCACATGCTGGAATGACAGTGGCTTCAGGGAGGAGTGGTGGTACTGCAGGAGGAGGCCTGAGGACCTGAGGGGGCCCTGGACCAGCCTCTGCTTGATGTTCAGCAGCTGGTCCTGGACAGGGAGAAAAAGGGAGATGTGAATGACAGTGTTTTACTTCTTGCTTGCTTACTGAGAGCTCCACTGCCAGTGTATCAGTTGTCTCATTAGTGGACCTGGAGCAGGAATATGACCATGTGGTGACACATCACCCTCTGAGAGCCTTCTCATGTCAGGGTGCCAAACACCACACGTGTCTTGTGGACTGGCACTGTACCCAAAACAGCTGCAAACACGTTTTCCCCCGGGAATCATTATTTAGATGAAAAATATGTAAATCATAAAGGGAACACTGAGTGCACTGACCTTCAATACCAGCTGCTGCTGCTCCAGCAGCACTAGGGAGCTCAGAGGTATCTACATACAGGTGAGTAGTTTTGCATATGTTATTTGTGATTTAAAATGTTCCTGCAGCAATCCGGCCTTCTTGTCTCTGCCTTACGAGCTGTCATCTCAGTGAACAGAGGATGTCAGGCCCTGGGGCTCCATGGGAGCTGCTGCTGCTCCATCAGACCTGCTCTCCCTGTTGCTCGTGCCAGTGTGGCCCTGGGTCTCTCCCAGTTTTCAGCCCTCAGAAGCAAACTTCAAAGCTGTGCTCGTTTGAGCAGCTCAGTTACAGCCCCAGAGCAAGCACCATCTGCCAGCAGCCTTGGATGCTAAAAATGGTGGATTTTTTGGTTTGTTTTTTAGCACAACCAAGACCAGCAATGTAGATTGCTCTCGCATCCCTACCTGTCAAAATTAAGCCTGCCAAATGTGATATTGCTCTTTTTTCAACGATGACACCTCCAGATAAAATAGTCAGTAGAAATAAGCCTCAAAAAAAAAAAATCTTTTCTTTCCATGCTCCAGCTAATCCTTTATCTCAGCCTTTCGTTTTACGTGAGCAGGTTTTCTCCTGCTCTGCTGAACAACCTGGTCGTCACACTGAGGGCATCTTCCCCCTTGGAAGGATTTGGCTCCTCAGGGGCCAAGTTGTTTGCTCAAAAGGCCAGTTTGCCTTTTCTGGAGGGCTCAGAGCATCTCCTGTCCTCACCTTTGCAGCACAGAGATCTGCCCTCATATGGAGGGAGTTGTTTTGGGGATTATCACTGGCTTTTTCCCCCCATTCTTGAATGGGTGATTATATGATGAAACATTCCTATGATGCAGTTAAAATGTAATCATGGTGAATGATTGTGACTGAAAAAAGAAGGGAGTGGTGATGGGTCAGTGAATTGGTAAAGGTTGAGTCATCTTTCCATGTATTTTGAAGTGAGAAATGAGGGGATTCCAGGGAGGCAGGGAGAGTCTCTGAGAACAGAGAGTCCTGGGATAAATTGTTTGGGAAGGGTCCATGGCAGGAGACCTTTAGGATCAAACAAGGTAAACATGAGCTGAGAAAGGTCCAACGCTGAGATTTGCAAAAGGAGGATTTTATAGTAAAATGCTTTTAAGATCCATATGATGTCGTTGTAAGTTTTTTAATCTGAACAGGTGTCTTATTTGGCTTTTTAGAGCTGTTTTGGGAAGGCTGAGTGTCTTTCATATGGTAATGCTTTCATTTATCAACTATTTAAGTGTCTGTTCTCCTCAGGTTTCTTCTACTGATTGTGTGCCAGGCAATCAGTTTTGGGTCTCTGCTTTGGAAGGGATTTGAGAGTCAGGGGAGGGAAAGGAAGGAGAGGCAGGTCTGAGTGTTATTCTAATTAAAAGAAAATATCTTTTGGAAGAAAACAGGCAACTATGAGCAACAAATTCAAATCAGCCAGTCAGAGGTTAGAGCATAACACATGCCTGGTTTTAAAGGGCTGAGTGGGTGGGAGATAACCTCCCCATCATCCCGGGCTGAGGCTTGGCAGGGGGGTTTGATGGCATTGCAATAGGGGTGGTGTTGGGTTTTGGGTTTTTTAACTGGAGGAAAAATGTGTGTGAAGCAGAATTGGCCTTGGTTTCCATCTGAAAAGCCTCCTCAGTTCAGTGCCATCCCTCTGTGGGTGTGCTTCTGTTGTAGTTATTAACAATTAGAGAAACCATCAGTGTCCCCAGGCTTGGAAATTGTCAGGCAGTTTGGCCAATCTCACTGAAAACCAGCACTGGGAAGCCTTGTTGGTGGAGGGGAGTTGTGGGGTGGTCACAGGGGGTCTCTGAGTTAGTGAGTGGTGCAGAATAATTTATATTTTACACCCTGTAGTCTTTATGAGCTGAATGGTGACCTTTAAAAATGCCAGCAGAGAACCTTCAGGGTGCTCAGCAACACCAAAAGTCTCCTTTCCCAGTCATTTGATACCCACAAGGACTTGGCCCTGAGCCCATTTTTAGGCATCCCTTTGCAGTGCCTGGTGAGGGATGCTGGGCGGGATGGCAGCAACAGCATCAAAGCCCCAGCTGTGATTTGCACAGAGAACACATCCCAAGGGTGTTTTAATTAATCTGTTCCAGAATTTGGTCAGCTCTGGGTGGATGCATGTGGAAATGAGAAGCTGGAGAGCCGTGGTGGGGCTTTGAGCAGACTGTGCCCGAGGTTTGCTGCTGCTGTGTGGGGAAAGGGGCCTTGCAGACACATGAAGAGCCTGTGACGTGAAGAGAGGGGAGAGATTTGGGGCTTGGACCTCATCTTGCTGACCTGGCACTGTGCAATATTTCCCTGATAAAGCAAGCTTTCCTTATCCCACTTTTCCCTCATTTTCCCACGTCTCTGGCTCATGCCCTGGTTTCCCAGGTGGTGATGCTTTCTGAGGCTCTCCTGAGAGCCATCAACACACAACTCTCAAGGCCATTATTTCAACGAGGCTTTCACATTTGCTGCTCACTGCAAATGGGCACAGGCACCTGTTTGCAGCAGACATCAAGGCCAGGCAGTTGGGCTGGAACTTTCCAGCCTGGAACTGATGGATGGAAAAGAGCAGGCTTGGAGATGTCCAAGAGCTTCTGGCACAAAGCAGCTTCACTGAGCAGCAATTATTATTTATCTCCATAAATATTTTAACTTCTCAGGCAAAGCAAGGAAGAAATAACTCTTCAAGGTGAGATTAATAAGAACAAACCTCATTAAATCTCACTAGGACAGTCTGATGAATGTTTTAATAAGACGATGGGAAGGATTCCTTTGGAGCTGGTCTTCTTAATGACTTGGTTTTGCAATCCCAAAGAAATCATGTTAGAGGAGAGCCCAAGGGATTGCACAACCCAGTCAAGCAGGGGAAGGAGTACACCCAGCTCTGTGTTCAGTGGTGGCAGCTCCTGAGGGCAGGTCTGCACCAAATGCAGGAGGGGGGACGAAGCCCCCAGCCCGTGGGAGCAGCCACCCTCTGCCCAGGCAGCAACCAGATCCTGAGCAGCCAGAGCTGGGCTGGGTGTGAGAGCTCACCTGTGATCACAGCAGGGCCTGTTGGAGTGTCTGATCAGTGCATTCGTGCCTTCAGCACGGGCAGAGTGCTGGCTGCAGGCAGGGCTGGCTGGGGGGGGAGCAGCCAAGGAGGGGGAGATGGCAAAAAAATTGGTTTTGATCCCAAATGCAGTGATATGTATTTGTCAAGGAAATGTATCCATTTAATACACCCACCTTGGCCCGAGTGTGGCCAGTGGAAGATGTATTAGGTGATGAAATAATTGCCTGGGTGAAGGCCCCACATGGGAGGGGCAAGGTTGTCTGTGTTAGACAGATGTCATTAACCTCTGCTAATTGGATGCTCAAGGAGCTGCCAAGAGTCTCGTGCTTCCCTACAAATTCAGGGGTGAGAAATCAGTTCTGTGATCAGAACCCCAAGGGTTTTTCCTTCAGCTCGTTCTTCTTTTATGATTTAATATAAAAGATAAAGGCCCTCTGGGTTCTCGCAGAGCTGCTCCAGTTGCCATGGAAATAAACCTTGCTAATCTCTTTGCCATAAAACAGGAATAATGTGCTGTGCCACTGTCCATCTGGGTGTGCTGGGGTCATTCCAGTTGTGCCAGTGTCCCACCTCTGCTGCTGGCTGGCAGGAGGTGGAGGAGCAGGACCATGCCATCAGCAGGGCTCAGCAAAGCTGTTTTGGGAAAGGGGCCCTGGGTGCTTCAAGCTGATCAATTGTGCTATTAAAATATTTTAGAATGTTCTCTGTCTCAGAAGGGTTTGGATTACCCTGGGAGCTTCTCAAAGAGTACATCCAGCTCTGTTAATCATCCCAAACTCCTTTTCCTTTAGTGCTGGGTTGGCCATACTGTTGTGGACTAGAGCACTGTAAAACATGCTCAAGTTCTCAGAGTAGGGATCTCCAAAGCACAAGAGGGGCCACTTTTCACTGCTGGGTGGAGGTGCTGGGTGAGGGTGCTGGGGCTGAGCACATCCCTGTGTGCCTGGCAGGTGTACGAGAGCGGCACCAACGTGGAGCAGTTCGTGACCCGGTTCCTGCTGAAGGAGACAGCGAACCAGACCCAGTCCCTGCTGAGCTCCGTGGAGAGTGCTGTGGATGCCATCGACGAGCAAACCAACCCCAGCAGGTCTGCAGCACTGCCCCCTCCTCCCTGGGCCGGGGGGATGAAGGGGAGGAGGAGGAGGAGGAGGAGGAGGAGGAGGAAGGTGCCTTTGCGGGGCCAGGGCAGCGCAGCAGACGCTGTGTGGGGCACAGGGGAGCTGGGGGAGCAGCTGCCTCTCTCTTTGCCTCCCTTCCCAGCTTCCTGAGAGCTCGGGGGGGTTTTCTCCACCACTCTGTCCTGCACTGCCCACACTGTCCCACAGCCCTCGGGATCCCTTTTAGCTGACGAGCAGTGTGGGGGGAGGCAAACAAGGGGCAGCACCCTGGCACTGGGCTGGGGGCTTGGGGCTGGGGGCATGGGGGTGCTTCTCTGAGCAAAGCCAACAGTCCCACCCAGGGCACGACACAGGCACCCCCAGAGGGGTGGACATGTCTGGGCTGTGCTGAGGACAGCCTGCAGGGGCAGCTTTCCCTGCCAGGGGTGCTGTTCCTCCTGCCAGAGCACCCAGCAAGGGTCATCGTCCAGAGGCAAGAGGTGCTTGTTGAGGACAGGTAGTGCTGTCCCCTGGTCTCACGTGAAGCACACCCCTGAGGGTCAGTGTCACCCCCCCTGGGGTCAGTGCCACCCCCAGGTACCACCATCACCAGCTGTAACAGGACAGGTTGCCACGGAAGCCATTTGTCAGATAGTCCTGGAGCAAATCCCTCTCCTGCCATACCTGCCAGCCAGGAGGCCTCAGGATGCTTCCAGAGGGATGTCTTGGCTTCCCCAGGCTGTGGGCAGGCAGAGGGGCACGTGGACCACAGAGAGTGAAAATACCAGCTCCCTGCTCAGACACCACTCCCTGAACACAGCGAGCCCCTGGGCAGCTCTGGTGCCACCTCACCAGCTTTCCTGGGGAGTGCTGTGGGTTTCCTCATCTCACATCTCCTTCTTCTCCCTATTTTGTGGCAAACTGTACAGAAAAAAAGCAGGAGCTCGTGGGAAACTATGAGGAGGGAAAAAAACCAACATCAGGCAGAGCAATTAGAGCCTCTGAAAGACTTTGCTGGCTTTTATTTCTGATGTGTGGGCCTGGTTCATAATGGGGAGTATTGTAGTTGTTTTCTCACTAAGATAATAGCCAAAAAGAAAAATAAGTCCCCCAAAAAATCTATCTCCTGCATCCACATGAAGACAAAGAGGTGGCCTAAAAAGCACCAAAATAAAGGGCTGAACACCAAAATGCAAAGGCAGAGGTCCAAGCTTGAAACACCTCATTAAATTGTGATTAAAATAAATCTCTATCTGTTTTCACCTAATTTCCTGCCTATTGACAGGGGATTATCCAGCACCAGCAGTGGGATTATTGCACAGCAAAAGGATGTTCCTGCCACCTTTATTGTTGTTCTTGCTTCCTTAACTTGGGGATGTTCCCTGGGACCAGATCTGCACATTGTGTTCCCCTGTGTAGGGTTGAGTCCACACTGGCTGATTTTTGGGGCCAGCAGCAGCCTGGGCACTGCTCCTGCAGCACCCAAGGACTCTGTGGGGTGGCTGGGAAAGGGCACCTGGCAGCTGTTTTGGAGGAGCCAGGGGAGGGGCAGGAGGACGCTGGCTGGTGTGATGCCCGTCAGCTCCCTGGCACTCACCCCGTTTCCAGCTGGGAGCTGTGTGACCACAAAAGGTGCCAAGAGGAGCTGGGGCTCCCGGGCACCTTGGTCAGCCAGCACAGAGCTGCTCCTGCTGGAAGGGACTCTGGAAACCCTCTGAGCTGCTCAGCCTCTCCCTCTGTGGTTACAGGAGGGAAGCCTGCACTGCCTGGGCACAGTGTGGGCACTGCTGCTCTGCAGAGGGTCTGGCATCACTGGCAGAGCTGCCAGGACTGTTGGCTCCCTGGGGCTGGCTCGTGCCGTGCTGGGTGTGCCAGCTCTGCCATCCTGACTGCCCCTGTGCTCTCTGGCTGCAGGCACTACCCCAGCAAGGCTGGCCATGGCCTGAGTGACCCCTGGTACGACAGCCCTGTGCCCAGCTACGCTCCCACCACCTGGGTGGTCCCCAGGGAGCACGGCAAGAACCTCCAGGCTGGTAAGTGGTGGCTGCCTGGGGTGGCTGGGAGGGCTCAGGAATGGGAGCTGCAGTCCCAGCAGCATCACAGGGCTCTCAGGGAGTGCCCACAGTGCCCCTCATCCCATCACTGCCTCCTGCTCTCTGCAGGTTCCCCCGACACCAAGGCAGAGGGGTTGGAAGGGCAGATCAACAGGCTGGCCAAGCTGATTGGCAAGCTGGAGGACAAGGTAAGGGCCAGTGTTTCCCTGTGTGGGACTGTCCCTGGGGTGTCCCCACAGCCCCACCACCTCCCTGCTACGTTGGGCCAGAGGTGACCAAGAGGTGGCCATGCCCATCCCAGTGCTGTGGTGTGCAGGGACCACGGGTGGGCTGCTGGTGGTGCTGGAGGATATTCTTTCTGATAGCTGACAGCAGCTGTGGAATGTGGAACAATTGACTGTGAGTGTGGTTACCAGAGGGGCTAAGACTGTGCCAGAGCTAGGAAGGGTGAGAGGGCAGTGAGGAGGAGTGGGTACCCCTGGTCCTGCCATGCCAGGGACAGTTCAGGGACTGTGAAAAAGTGACAGCTGTTTTGGGGCAGGGGCAAGGACATGGTGTTGGGGATGTTGGCTGTGCTGGGAGCACGGGGAGCTCTTGCAGAGGGTCCTGCAGGGCACGAAGGTGCAAATGGCTCTTGGAGCTGTCCCCTGCAGAGAAGGGGGCACAGCCAGACATGCCAAGTGCTGGGCACAGAAACCCACTGGGCAGGGGACAGAAACCCACAGGCAGCCTCAGCCACTCCACCCCCCAGCACTGCTCCCTCCCCTTTGCAGACGCTGTGGTTTGACCTGCACCAGCGGCTGTCGGACAGCGAGAGCTCCGCCTGCACGGTGAGTGTGCCCGACCCCTCCGGGGAATGGGGGTCCCTGCAGCCCCAGGCTCGGGCTCCCTGTGTCCCCCCGGGGCTGGGGGTCCCTGCAGCCCCAGGCTCGGGCTCCCTGTCCCCGGGGCTCACGTGTGCTGTTTGGGGCCGGCAGTACCTCCTCCTGGTGCGGAACGAGATGACGGTGTCGCACAAGCACCTGGGCGAGTTCTGCAGCTCCCTGAAGCAGTACCTGAAGAGCGTGGCCGGGGAGCGGGACTGCTTCCAGTGGGTACCACCGGCAGCCGCACGGGGGGTGCTGGGAGGGCTGGGGGGGGCAGAGGATGTTCAGCTGCCCTTGCAGCAAAGGGCACCCCACCGAGTGAAGGACTGGGCAAAACAGCCCAGATGTGGGATGTGGTCGTGCTCGGTCACCAACACCCCCCTGCACGGGCTGGGGAGTGCTGGGCTGGGGGGCTGCCCCTCCCCGGGCTGTCAGGGCTGGGTCACCCCTCGGTAGCCCAGCCTGCAGCACAGCTGTGGCCGCAGGGGCCGAGGGGGCAGCGATGCCCCGTGCTGGGGGCTCACCCCCTCTCCCTGCCTGTGGCAGTGTCACCGCGGTGAAGCTGCCTGATGGTGTCACCTTCATCGTCTACGAGTTCTGGGAGACCGAGGAGGACTGGAAGAGGTAGGAGAGGGGGTGGAAAAAGCCCATTTTTTTTGTGGGATGCTGGGGTGTGGAGGGTTGTTGGAGCTGCTGAGCCCCTCGCTCTGTCCCCTGTCTGATGGCAGGGCCAAAGAGCTGTCTGTCTGTCCTGGGGCTGTCCCTGTAAATGGGACAGGGGCTTGGGGTGGGTTTCTCTGCACCTCCCACCTGGGGATGCCTTTGCATGTGGGATGCATCACTGTCCTGAAGCGAGGCAGGGTGCTGTGCTAAAGGGGAGGTGAGTGGGATTGCTGGCACCCAGCCCCTGCCTGAGCCCACGGAG